GCTCTGGAGCACAGAGGTTGGTTTTTGACAACAGGTCGCTTATAAGGAACATTTATTTCTCACCATTCTGGAGGCTGAAAAGTCAAAGATCAGGGTGCCAGTATGGTCAAGTTCAGGTGACTTCTTGACCGTGGGTTGCAGGCTGCTGACTTCTGCAGTGTCCTCACATGATGGAAAGAGCTAAGGATCTCTCTGGAGCCTCTTTTAGAGGCACTAATCCCACTCATGAGGGTTCCACCCTCATGACTTAAACACCTCCGGAAGCCCCCACCTACTATCACCTTTGAGGGTTAGGATTTCAACATGAATTTGGGGGAGGGAGCACATGTTCAGAGAATAGCACTAAGAAACCAAGCATCATTGGGGCACCTGGGGCCAGTCGGTTAAGCATCTGTCTCTTGATTTCAGCTCAGGTCATGATCTCAGGGTCCTGGGATTGAGCCCTGCATCAGGCTCTGCGCTGCGCTCACTGAGGAGTCTGCTTGAGATTCTCTCTCTCCTTCTCTCATTGTCCATCCCCCCCACTCACATGTGTGCTCTCTCTCTCTCTCAAATTAAGCTTAAAAAAAAAAAAGCATCATTGCTTCTTCATTGAGACAGACACAAAGGCCTCTCAAATTCAGAGGAAGATAAAGTATACTTATTTTTAAGATTTATTTATTTGAGAGAGAGAGCACATGCGTGTAAGTGGAGGGCAGGGCAGAGGGAGGGAATCTTCAAGCAGACTCCTGGTGGAACACAGAACCCAATTTGGGGCTCAGTCCCCCAACCCATGAGATCATGACCTGAGTGGAAACCAAGAGCCAGAGGCTTCACCCACCGAGCCACCCAGGTGCCCCTAAACTGTACTTCTTGATGGGAGAGTGGCAAAATTCTGGAACAGTGTAGCGAACCAGAATTTTTTTGTGGCCATTTTTGGAAAACAATCTGTCACAGATAGTATTCGCTTAGGCTCAGTTGTAGACTCTTAAGATTAAATACATATATATATTTCACAATATTTGATATAAAATGATCCTTAAATAGAAAAAATTAGGTGGTCTTAGACCCTCAGAATGCCACAATTTCCTGTATCTAGAAGAAGGGGATAAGTTCTTCAGAGGTTGTAAGCACAAATTGGCCTTTAAATAGATATGTACCAAAAAATTCAGTGAACTTGTATTAGGAGAATGGAACATGAATGTGTGTGTGTGTGTGTGTGTGTTGTCAAAGAGCGAAATCCTCATCTTCTAGGTTGGGAAGTCAGATAATACCTAAAATTTTAAAAATCTAGAAATAAGAATGTAATCTAGCATTATGTTAGTGAATACCAAAATAAGTAGTTAAAGGGTTGAAACAATTCATACTGATCTTGGGAGTTGGAAATCGGATCAGGAAGCAGACCTATATAATTCTTTCGACCAGGTCTGTATACTAAATGTATTAAATTTTTAAAAAGAAAAAAATGGAAGAGCTAAACAGCAAATTAGATTGCAAAAGACAGAATTAAGATTTCTGGCAATATTTTTGTTCACATGAGGACAGTATTATCTGGATTCTGCGTGTGCCTTTAGGTTTCTTTGGCTCTGTAATAATAATACTAATATCAAGTTAATGACAAAAATCAGAACCGGGTACTATGACAAAAGAGCAACCAGGGATCAAGAAATCAAATAGAATAATGTTGAAGTTGAAAAAAAATCTATCAAGACTGTATGGACCATACCTACATAAGGAACAAATGAGTGAACTGGTACATAAAGGTGAAGAAGTGGCTCAGAATGCAAAATGCAAAGGTAGAAAAGGAAAATATGCAGGTAAAATTAAAAAATACAGAAGATGAATCCAGAAGGACAAATGTTCACCTAATATCCAGATTTCAGAAATGGAGAGGGGGAAATTATCAAAAGAACAGTTTCTACAACTAACAACGACACATCTCCAAATTTAAAGATGGTGTTGAATTCCAACAAGGATCAATCAGAAAAAGCCCAAGATAAGTCCACATGAAATTTCAGAACTTTAAAAACAAACAGAAAAATCTGAGAAACAAGTTTCTTGCAAAGGAATAAATCTAGTTGACCCTTGAGCAACACAGGTTTGAACTACATGGGTCCATTTAAATGCCGATTTTTTTTTTTAAAGATTTTATTTATTTATTTGAGAGAGAGAGAATGAGAGAGCACATGAGAAGGGGGAGGGTCAGAGGGAGGAGCAGACTCCCCGCCGAGCAGGAAGCCCGATGCGGGACTCGATCCCGGAACTCCAGGATCATGACCTGAGCCGAAGGCAGTCGCTTAACCAACTGAGCCACCCAGGCGCCCCTTAAATGCCAATTTTTTACAATACAGTACTGTAAATTTATTTTCCTTAAGATTTTCTTAACATTCTTTTCTCTAGCCTACTTCATTGTAAGAATAAAGTATATAATACTTGTAACATACAAAACTTGTGTTAACTGGCTGTTTATGTTATCAGTAAGGCTTCTGGTCAACAGGTTATTAGTAGTTAAGTTTTGGGGGAGTCAAAATTTATACATGGATTTTCAACTGTGTGGGGGTTGGTCAGTGCCTCTAATCCCTGTGTTGGTCAAGGGTCAACTGCATTAGATTGGCAGAAAGATTTCTACCAATGATATTAGATATTAGAGGGTAATGGAGCAATATTTTCAAAGTTATATGAGAATTCCATGCCCTAGAATTCGTTTTGAGCCTAGAATTCTATGTCCCTGCAAATGATCAGTCAAGAGGGAAGTTAAAAAAAAAAAAAAGGAAATTTTATTTCCTACACACATTAAAAAAAAAAAAAGGTACCTACCAAAACAAACACAAACAAAACAGAAACAAGCAAACAAATGACAGAATTCTAAGAAAGAAAAATATGCAGGATCCAAGACTCATTCATATAGAAGCATGAATAATAATAGCTGTTCATCAGGCCTAAAGACAATTGATCAAAATTGGAACAGGAAATCAAAGTAGTCTGAAAAATTTATTCAAGAAGACATATGCCTCTTCTATTATTAAGAAGTAATTTATCCAACTCATGTTTGTTGTGTACTTATAATAATAACCAGGCAGTGGGTTAAGGATTTTATGTACCTTTTCTTATTTAATCCTCACAATGTCCCATAATGTAGGTAATATTATTTTTTTAAAAAAGATTTATTTATTTATTTATTTGAGAGAGCGAGAATGAGAGAGAAAGAGAGTACATGAGAGGGGGGAGGGTTAGAGGGAGAAGCAGGCTCCTCGCCGAGCAGGGAGCCCGATGCGGGACTCGATCCAGGGACTCCAGGATCATGACCTGAGCCAAAGGCAGTCGCTTAACCAACTGAGCCACCCAGGCGCCCTAGGTAATATCATTAACCCCATTTTACAAATGAGTAAAATGAGGCTAAGCACCTTGCCAAGTATAGCTAGTAAGTGACAGAGCTGAGATTTGAACAGACAAAAAATCCTAGGGAAGGGATCCTTAGAGAAATAGCTGCTGATAGCATGTCTAGAGCAGAACACAGAAGATATGCTGGGGATCCATCCAAAAGATTGGAAAACAGAATCTGGAAGAGATATTCGTACTCCCCTGTTTATTGCAGCATTATTTACATTAGCCAAGAGGTAGAAGCAACCTAAAATGTCCAATATGTCCATCAAAAGATGAATGGAGGAAGAAAATGTGACATATACATGCAATAGAATATTATTCAGCCTTTAAAAAGAAGGAAATCTTGTCATAGCTACAACCTGGATGAAACTTAAGGACATCTTGCTAAGTAAAATAAGCTAGTTGCAAAAAGACAAGTACTGCATGGTTCCACTTATAGCAACTATCTGAAGTGAAATGTTATGGTGGTTCAGTGCATATAGGGTTTCAGTTTTGCAAGATGAAAAGGCTCTAGAGATCTGGTGTACAACAATGTGCATATAGTTAACACTACTATACACTTAAGAATGGTTAGAATAGTACATTTTATGTTGTGTTTTTTGCCACAAAAGAAAAAAAAAGATGATAGGGAACCAACTTGTAATTTTGAATACTTAAATAAAAGAGAGAATCAAGCACCCATCCTGCCTTTTCTATATGAACTGTGTATCAGGAACCAGATAGTTGAAAGGAAGTGTCTCTTTAACAATTGTGACTAATGAAGAAGAAAATGAAATTATTTAGGCAATGCTCACCAATGTCTGCTAAAAATCACAAAAAGTGAAACACACCATGTATGCTTCCTGATGGAAAGATATCATCACCTATAAAATATACCTAAAACATAAAAAAAAAACACAAATCTGGGCAAGCACCTAGGTGTAATTACAAATACACAGGAAATACAGGGGATAGAGGAACACAGGAACATGATCAACAAAATCCAGACTGTGGAACACTCTACTGGAGAAACTGCCAGTTTTTTCGTCTAATAAATTGGAAGGACACACACACACAAACAAAACGAAACAAAAACACGCATACTACGTAAAATAAAATAGACACTGGAAAATTGAAATATTCATTTAATATCCTTTATTATTTAAAAATTTTAAGTAACACGCACGATTTAGTTTTCTAATAAATTTTTAAGCTTTTAAATTTTGAATTTTAACTTTGCAACTAAATCTTTGAGAGCAGATATTAAACTTATACTTTTCTATACATCCTCCTCGCTCTCCTACTTACACTAGTATATGTACTCATATCGAATGTATTCAATATCGAATTTGTTAACGGTATCTTGTTTCTAGGACAAGAAAGGATTTTTTGAAGTAGTCTGAGCCAATCATTTTAGAGGAGGACACTGAGGTCCCTCGAGGAGGAACCTCCACCTACGGAAGCCTAGTCTGGGTGAATTCTCTACCACATGCCCCGCACTTTAAACAGAGCCTCTAAAAACTTAGTAATTACCGTGCCTTCGCTTCCCAGGGAAACTAGCGGAGCATTTGCCGGCAAACCGTAAAGTGGTCGCGCAGAGAAGCTCTAGCTCCGCGCATGCGTAGAGCCATCCCCGCCTTTCTTGCGCGCGTGCGCGAGCGGGAACTTTTCGTGGTGGGTACCGTCCTGCCGAGTGTTCGCTTCCTCCGGTGTGTTTTGAGCGTCGTACCCGGGAGGCTGGGCCTACGGGACAAGATGGAGCTCTTGCAGGTCCTGAAACGCGGGCTGCAGCAGGTCAGCGGCCACGGCGGCCTCCGTGGCTATCTACGGGTTTTCTTCAGGTAGGCGGCCAGAGCCATGCTCTTGGCCTCTGGGAATATACTTGAGTTAGCTGGTTTCTTGGAAGGAGTCCCGGGCTTGGATCCCCTTGGCGAATTCGCAGCTCTTGTCAAGGACAATCTGCCCAATCTCTGCCCTGCGTCCCCAGGCCGAAGTGTGTGTCCAGGAGTCTCCTTGAGACAGGATCAGAGCCAGCTGTAGAGACAGTAAGAGTCGAGGGCGTGTGGGCTGCACCCCTGCCCGGCTTTCTGGAGAGTAGTGAGCTTTGCCCTACGCTCTGACCTTGGGAAAGTTTTTACCTTCACTGGCCTTCAGTTTCCTCCTCTGTACTAGTAAGGCATTGGCGGAGATGATCATAACGGCCCCTACTAGTCCTGACATTGGTTCATTTGGAGGCGCAGCATCGTCCGCGGGAACCGATTCGGAGACCCAGAATCAAATGAGAGCCTTGGAGACATTCGAATCATTTTAAGATGAAATACTTTGGCTTTCAGATTTCCTGAGGTTTTTTGCTAACTGCAGTGCTTCATGGCCTTGGAGTAACAGATAAAAGTAGTCTTGTAATTTGAAGATATTGCATCTATATATTTAGTGTAATTTTAAGCATATCCGCTGAGTCGATCTGTCTTTTCTGTGTGTCTACATGGTACTGGGGGCGACTTGAGCAGGGATTCTAGAGTTCTTACCTGAAGCTGATTCTTCAGCAGTGGCTGGCTTGATCCTGAAGATGGAGGCTAGAAGTGTACAACTAGTGACCATCCCCACATCTCATTTTACTAGTCGATGCAGCAGACTTTGTTTCTGAAAGTTGTTATACTCACTGTATTTTGTGCTTTGAACAAAGAATCATTGTAAAATGTTTCTCTCTCTCTCTCTCTTTTTTTTTTTTTTGGATATTCACAGGGCAAATGATGTGAGGGTTGGTACCTTAGTGGGGGAAGACAAATATGGAAACAAATACTATGAAGACAACAAGCAGTTTTTTGGTGAGTACAGTATTTTTTGGTATAAATAATGAGAGTGAGATTGAGACTTGATTTTTTTTTTTAAGATTTTTTATTTTATTTATTTGAGAGAGAGAGAGCAGGGGCTGGGGGAAGGAGCAGAGGGAGAGAGAGACGCAGATTCCCCATCTGGGGGCTTGGGATCCTGACCTAAGCGGAAGGCAGATGCTTAACCGACTGAGCCACCCAGGCGCCCTGAGACTTGATTTGACTCTGTTTTCCATAATGTACAAAGAGCTTCTTTATGACTGTATAAACAACATACCTTTTTTTTTTAATTTCATGGGATTATGTTATGTATGTTGTTTGTAAATGGAAATATTTTTACTTAAAACTATGGGCCATTTTTCCATAGTGGTAAGTTGGGTGTATCTATAGCATTCTTCTTTGTTTGAATTTTTGTTTGTGTTTTTTTTTATTAAAAAAATTAGCATTATTTTTAATAGCAACACAATATTCCACTGTATGAAAGAATCATTCTTTCAAGCACTGATATTTAGATTGCCTTCAACCTTATGCTGTTAGAAACAATGCTGCAGTGACTCGCTTGTAACTACATCCACATTCATTTGTTTAAGTATTGTAAGAATAAATTCCTGGAAGTAGAATTGCTGAGTCTAAGTATGTACATTTAAAATTTTGATATATGTATATTGTGAGATTGTTAAGGCCCATCTCTATCATCATGGCCTAATAATTCTGTGAAACCTTTTCCACGGTTTTTTCATCTGCCTTCACATTCCCCTGCCTAATTGGATTGTAGTTTACTTTTAGTTACTTATTCTCAAGATTGATGTCTCTAACAGAAGGAGCAAATCTTGAATTTTTTTTTTTCCCCTGCAAAAAGCTTTATTGTTTCCATTTGGTCTAGGGCTTGGGAGAAGGCTTCAGGATGGTTAAGAAGCTGCCTAGGACTGTAGGGAGAGGCCCAGGCAGATGCCTTAGCACCAGGAGGATGCCAGAGGGGCCCCTTAAAGGCACCTGGGCTCCAGAGAATCTTAGATGTGCTTGAAAAATCTGTATTTCCTTTAATACATAAGGTCGTATTTAAATAGCATTTGTTGATATTTGTTGATTATGTATTTACTTAGGAAAACTCTATAAAGGGCTCCTGGGTGGCTCAGTCGGTTAAGCATCTGCCTTCAGCTCAGGTCATGATCCTGGGGTCTTGGGATTGAGCCCTGCATCCAGCTCCCTGCTCCGTGGGGAGCCTACTTCTCCCTCTCCCTCCCGGTCCCCTTGTTTGTACATGCACGCTCTCTCTCTGTCAAATAAATAAATAAAATCTTAAAAAAAAAAAGAAAACTCTATAAGGTAAATGCAGATTACTTTTTGTTTATTGGCTTAAAATACATTACAGGGATGAATTCAGTATTTTCTGTTTGGGGGATAGGGGCATTAAGGAAGAGGTGGAAGGAATTAACATCTATTATGCACTTTTTTGCCCAGTGCTAAACTAGATGTATGTGTGTGATATTTAATTTTCATAGCGACCTGAAGATGTAGGTATAATCATCCACTTTTTTTTTAAGATTTTATTTTTAAGTAATCTCTATACCCAGCATGGGGCTTGAACTTACAACCCTGATATCAAGAGTCTCATGCTCTACCGACTGAGCCAGCCAGCGCCCCTATATTCATCCACTTTTAATAGAGAAACTGAGGCTCATAAAACTTATCTAAAATCCATTGATAATAAGTGACAAAGTCTTGATTAGAATCCAGGTCTCTGCTCAACTTAGTAGAATAGAAACCTTCCTGTAAATTGTAATTAGGCCCCCAACTATTCCACAGAAATTTGTTAAATAAAGAATGCTGCCATACTCTTTTGATGACATGAGCTGTCTTACTTATCTGACCATTGTTTATAATGTTTGCTTATTATGTATGATCACCAATTTCCAAAAGGATCTCTGTGGTCATTTTAAAATATTTATATGGAAACATATGAGTATGACTGCTGTGAATGCATTTCTCCTGCCCCAGTCTCAGAAGAGCACTTTCTCTCCTGAATACCCTGAACAGCTGGGAACACATTCCCCTACTCTCCTCTACTCCCTTGGCAGAAGGACAGGGGAGAAGCAAGAGTTCTCCACTGTGGGAAATGCCTGAGCCCCAGCCACAGAGTGGGTCTCAGTCTCAGTGTAGGGATTTTGCTCTTGTAGCTGCCAGGCTATTGATAAAAGCTTGCCATATACTTCCCGAGGCATGCCTCCACTAATATACCCAGGGTGCTATTCCTCTAACTTTTCTCTTACGTAAGAGCACATAAAAGTCTTTTATTAATAAAAAATAGTTGTCTTCTTTGATATTATACAATTATGCTTATTTTTGTTTGTTTTTGTTTTGTTAAGGTTGTCTTTATTTCCTCACATCTTTATAAATGTTGATCTTTCCACCCAGGCCGTCACCGATGGGTTATATATACTACTGAAATGAATGGCAAAAACACATTTTGGGATGTGGATGGAAGCATGGTGCCCCCTGAATGGTAAACTAAGTCAACATTTTATTTTATTTGGCTTGGCAGTATTTGTTTCATTACACAAATATTTGTTGAATATCTATTTATAAAACAGTGGTATTCTGAAAACATCTGTCCCAGGTATGGTGACTGTGTAATAAAGAGCCCTAAAGCTTTGTGTCTTAAAACAACAAGTATTTATCTCTCATAGTTTTTATGGGTCAGGAGTTCAGGCAAGACACAGTCAGCATAGCTTATCTCTGCTCCACAGTGTCAGGTAGAAGACTCAAAGGCTGGATGCCAGAATCATCTGAAGACTTGTTCATTCAGTATCTGGCAGTTGGTGCTGGCTGTCAGCTAGGGGCATAGCTGGAGCATTGGGTTGGAACACCCTCAGGTAGCCTGGGCTTCCTCAGGCAGGTGCTCTAGAGAGAACACTTGGCAAAAGCCCTATTGCCTTAACTGACTTAGTCTTGGAAATCATCCAGTATCATTTCTGCATTCCGTTGGTTGAGGCAATTAGAAAACTGTGCCCAGGCTTAATGAAGGAGAACAAAGACCCTACCTCTTAACGGAGGCATGTCAACATCACATTATATGTTGGCATATATAATGGTGTGCCTGTCTTTGGGAAAAAACAGTATGCCACATTATCACCTGCTGTGAGTAAAGGAAAAAGTATAAAGAATTCTGACTCTGAATATTTGGCAATTTGACTTTAAGCAAGTTCCTTAATCTTTCTGGGGCTTAGTTTTCTCATCTGTAAAATGAGAGCCCTCAAATTCCTTAGGTCTCTAAAAACTAATTTTATAATATACCAAGAGATTTTATTTATTCATTTGAGAGAGAGCAAGAGAGCACAAGCAAGGGGAGCGGCAGAGGGAGGGGAGCCTGATGCGGGGCTTGATCCCAGGACCCCGGGATCACAACCTGAGCTATGCCACCCAGGCACCCCTATAATATCCCTATTTTGACAATGAATTCTAAATGCTCTTACTTGAATTATCAAATTTTATATAAAATATTTCAAAGCAAAGTACTCCTATCTATTTCATAGATTGCTAAAATAATGCCATTTGTTTGATACACAGTTATTAAACTCTGGATAATCTGTTACAGTCAGTCTAGAAAATTTCACCAAAAACTAGAAATAAGGTATGTTAGGTAACTGTGATGTTTTGTTTTAGTTGAACTTGAGCATCAGAAACAGTTTCGGGCTCTATTGAGTAGAAACTGGAATAATCTCAGAATATTCACTTCTATTCTGAAGACTGAATTAGAAATCCAGGCATGTAACATGAGTGAGTGAAGTACAGTGTGAGACAATAGGAAGTAGTGGGGACTCTAGACTGAAAAGCACACACTGCGTCAAAGAGGACAGCAGTGCTATTCATCACTTCCAGTTCCATCAGCTGAGAATTCAGCCAGTGGTTTCTAGATAGAAAGTGGAAATGTGTATTTCATTGGGAGGTTTCTTGTTTTGTTGTTGTTGTTGTTTTTTAAGATTTTTTATTTTGTACGAGAGAGAGCGCACGCGCCCGCCAATGAGCATGAGCAGGGGAAGGGGCAGAAGGAGAGGGAGAAGCAGACTCCCCGCTGAGCAGGGAGCCTGATGCAGGACTCGATCCCAGAACCCTGGGATCATGACCTGAGCTGAAGGCAGACGCCTAACCAACTAAGCCACCCAGGCACCCAAACTTCTTGTTTTTTAAATGTTAATTTAAAATATTTGTCAGCTTAAATACAGCAGTATCCAATAGAACTTTTTCTGATGATAGAAATGTTCTATGTCTGTGCTGTGTTCTAAGGTAGCCCAGGGCACTGTGAAATGTGACTAATGTGACTAAGGAAGTGAATTTTTTATTTTATTTTATTTAAATAGGCTACTTGATTGGACAGAATGGAAATTGTGAACTAAGTAAAACACATTTGTCAGATTTCACCTACAATCAGTTTTCAACCTCTCGTGTGCTATTTGTACTAATTAGGAGCGTTGACCCTTGTCAGTGATGTTGTTTGAAGAACATGATATAGGCATACCTAGTTTCATTATGCTTTGCTTTATTGTGCTGTCCATATCAGATAATAAGTTTTTTACACATTGAAGGTTTGTGGCAACCCTGCCTTGAGCAAGTCTGTTGGTGCCATTTTTCTAACACCATTTGCTCACTTTATGTCTCTGTTTGGTAATTCTTGGCAGTATTTCATTTTATTTTTATTGGGGTGGCAGTGGGGGTGGAGGGAGAGGGAGAGAGAGAATCTTAAGCAGCCTCCACACCCAGCATGGAGCCTGACACAGGGCTTGATCTCACAACCCTGAGATCATGACCTGAGCCAAAATCAAGGGTTGGATGCTTAACTGACTGAGCCACCCACACACCCCAATTCTCACAAGATTCAAGTTTTTTCATTGTTACTATATTTGTTATGGTGACCCATAGTCAAGTGATCTTTGATATTACTATTGTGATCGTTTTGTGGTGCCATGCACTGCACCCATATAAGACGGTAAACTTAATAAATGTTGCGTATGTTCTGACTGCTCCACCAACTGGCCACTCCCCTGTCTTCCTGTCCTCAGGCCTCCCTATTCCCTGAGACACAATATTGAAATTAAGCCAATTAATAACCCACCAAAGGCCTCTGAGTGTTCAAGTGAAAGGAAGAGTTGCACGTCTATCACTTTAAATCAGGAGCTGAAAATGATAAAGCTTGGTGAGGAAGGCATGTCGAAAGCCAAGATAAGCTGAAAGCTAGGCCTCTTGCATCAGTTAGCTAGGCTGTGAATACAAAGGAAAAGTTCTTTTCTTTTTTTTTTTTTTTTAAGATTTTATCCATCCATTAGAGAGAGAGAGAGAGCACAAGCAGTGGGAACGGCAGGCAGAGGGAGAAGGAGGAAAGCAGACTCCCTGCTGAGCAAGGAGTCTGATGCAGGGCTGGATCCCAGGACCGTGGGATCATGACCTGAGCTGAAGGCAGACGCTTAACCGACTGAGCCACCCAGGTGCCCCGCAAAGGAAAAGTTCTTGAAGGAAATTAAAAGTGCTACTCCAGTGAACATAAGAATTTTAAGAAAGTGAAATAGCCTTATTGCTGATATGGAGAAAGTTTTAGTGTTCTGGAACCACAACATTGCCTAAGCCAGAGCTTAAACCAGAGCAAAGCCCTAACTCTCTCCAGTTCTATGAAGGCTGAGAGAGGTGAGGAAGCTGCCCAAAAAAAGTGAAGCTAGCAGAGTTTGGTTCATTAAATTTAAGTAAAGAAACCGTCTCCATAACATAAAAGTGCAAAGTGAAGCAGCAAGTTCTCCAGAAGATCTAGCTAAGGTAATTAGTGAAGGTGGCTACACTAAACAACAGATTTTCAGTGTACACGGAACAGCCTTCTATTGGGAGAAGATGTCATTGAGGACTTTCATAGCTAGAGAGAAGTTAATGCCTGGCTTTGAAGCTTCAAAGGATAGGCTGGCTCTTTTATTAGGGGCTAATGCAGCTGGTGATTTTCAGCTGAAGCCTGTATTTATTCACTGTTCAGAAAATCCCATGGCCCTTAAGAATTAAGATAAATCTACCTGTGCTCTATCAGTAGAAGAACAAAGCCTGGATGACAGCACATATGTTTGCAACATAGTTTACTAAATATTTTAAGCCCACTTTTGAGACCTACCGCTCAGAAAAAAAGATTCCTTTCAAAATATTGCTGCTTACTGACAATGTGCCTGGTCACCCAGGAGGTCTGGTGGAGATGGACAATGAGATTCATGTTGTTTCATGCCTGCTAACACAGCATCTATTCTCTAGCCCACAGATCAAGGAGTGATTTTGATTTTCAGGTTTCTTTTAAGAAATACATTGCATAAGGCTAGAGCTGCCATAGGTAGTGATTCCTCTGATGGATCTGGGCAAAGTAGATTGAAAACCTTCTAAGGGGCGCCTAGGGTGGCTCAGTCATTAAGAGTCTGACTTTGGCTTGGCTCGTGATCCCAGCGTCCTGGGATTGAGCCCTGCATCAGGCTCCCTGCTCGGCGGGAAGCCTGCTTCTCCCTCTCCCACTCCCCCTGCTTGTGTTCCCTCTCTCGCTGTGTCTCTCTTTGTCAAATAAATAAAATCTTTAAAGAGAAAAAAGAAAACCTCGAAAGGATTCACCATTCTAGATGCCATTAAAAACATTTGTTTTTTCATGGGAAGAGTTCAAAATATCAACAGGAGTTTGGAAGAAGTTGATTCCAACTTATTGATCATGGATGGTTTTGAGGGTTCAAGACTTGAGTGGATAAAGTAACTATGGACGTAAATGTAGAAATAGCAACAGAACTAGAATTAGAAGCTGAGCCTAAAGATGTGACTGAATTACTGCAATCTCATGATTAAACTTGAACAGATGAGTTCCTTTTTTCTTTTTTCCAGATGAATTATTTATAAGTTTTAAAATCAATTTATTAAGGCATTAATTACAAACAATAAATGAACTAATTTCAAATGTGCCTTTAATGACTTCTGACAATAAACATTCCTGTGTAATCACTGCCCAAATGAAGATACAGGATATTTCTGTCATCCCAAACACTTCTTCTTATGCCTCTTTCCTCCTGTGCTTCTTATGGATGAGCAAATAAAGTAGTTTCTTGATATGGAATTTACTCCTGGTGGAGATGCTGTGAAGATTGTTGAAATGACAACAAAGGATTTAGAATATCACATAAACTTAGTTGATAAAGCGGTGGCAGGTTTGAGAGGATTGACTCCACAATTTTGAAAGAAGTTTTACTCTGGGTAAGTGCTGTCAAACAGCATTGCATGTTACAAAGAAATTGTTCATGAAAAGAAGAGTCAATCAGTGTGACAGACTTCATTGCAATTTTAAGAAATTACCACAGCCACCCTACCACCCTGGTCATTTAGCAGCCGTCAACCTCAAGGCAAGACCCTCCACAGCAAAAAGATTAAAACTCCCTAAAAGCTTAAAAAAAAAAAACAACCCTCCCTAAAAGCTCAGATGATGGTTAGTATTTTTAGCAATAAAGTATT